GCTCGGGCGCACGCCGGCCGCGTCGGCCCAGGCCACGCGGCGGGGCGTCCCCAGCTGCCGCGGCGACGGCATCGGCGAAGCAGGCGGCGACGGCAGAGGCGGGCCGCTTGGCACCCCCCGCAGCTGCTGGTAGGCCCCGGTCCCAGGGCGCAGGCTGGCCAGGAGCGCCGACGACGGCGCCCCGCTGCGGCCGCCGCCGCCCGCTGCGCCCGCCCCCGAGAAAGACCCGGAGCCGCTGCTGCGCGCGGCAAAGGGAGAGAGCGCCCCGCCCGTGAGGCTCGTGCCGCGGCTACTTGTGCGGCGGCCGATCTGGAAACCTCCGATGTCAGAGGTCAAGGCGGCCGTGGCGATGGAGTCCTCGAGCCAGGCCGACAGCTCGGCGGCCGCGGACTTGCTTCGCGCGACCCCGGCAGCCGCGCCCGCTGGCGGCACCGGGCGGCGGCCAGCCGCCTCCGCACCCGCCTCGGCCGTCAAGCTGGCAAAGCGGGGTGAAGGCCGCGGGGAGGCTGCTAAGTTGGCACCGCGGGGCATCGACGAGAGCGCCGCCGCCGCCGCTGCAGCCCCGCCGCTGCTGAGCGCCACGAGGCTTGGCGAAGCGCCGCCCCGGCCCTGCGCCGTCTCCAGCCCCCCTCCCCCTGCTGCCGCCAATGCTGCTGCCGCCGCTGCTGCTGCCGCTGCTGCTGCCGCTGCTGCTGACGCTGGTGCGGCGCCGCGGTGTTCGCCGCCGAGGCCGACCCAAACCCCGCCGCCGCCACCGTCAGCATCTGCGGCTGCACTCCCCGGCAGGCGGAGGGACGCCGCGCGCGGCTGCGCCGGCGGCGGCGGGGCCACTGGCGCTGCCAACAGCAACTCCAGCGCCGCCACCGCCGCCGCCTCGGCCGCGCCGCCGCCGCCGCCGCCGCCGCCGCCGGCAGACCCGCTGCCGTGACCGACGCGGCGCTCGTCGCCGGGCCTCCCAGCCGCCGCGGCGGCTGCCGCGGCAGAGGCGTCAAAGGGCTGGGTCGATATGAAGTCGTCCCACGAGATATTATCGTGGCCCAGCGTCAAGCGGCGGCCGGCGTCGTGATAGAGACGCCGATGGAGGCCGTGCGCGTGCCCGCAGCCGTCCAATTCCGCGGCGCCGCCGCAGCCGTCGCCGCCGTCCTCGCCGCTAGGCTGTCGCAGCCCAACCGCCAGTGCCGGCG